TATATATATATATATATATAAAAACGTATCACACAAATACATGAAGACTAATGAAAGCTGATCAATTAAACAGCCAAAAGCTTAAATTTAAAGCAGTCTGCTACGCTGAAGTAGCTTGTCTCCAGACACAAATCAGAATTTTAACTTAAAAATCAGACCAAAACAATAACACATTCCTCATCACAGTGCGCTTGAAACGAAAGGATATCTGGCGTCCATGTTTGTCGACTGTTAGCGGCCGGCGGTGAGGCGAAGTGATGCGGTTCCGGTCACGGTAAACACGGTCCACCAGCCCGTGGTGCCTGGTTGTCCGACTGGTATCCAGCACTGAGTTCTGGAGGTGGACACATCAGGTGAATGAGGCCCCGCCCACAAAGAAAACAAAAACAAAAATTGCTTACACTATAAAACTGTGTCTTAGGATAATGTCTGAGGATAAATGGTGCACATGTGTTTGTTTCAAAATGAGTCAAGCCATGGGCCCCCCATACTGATGCTTGAGTTGGCAAATGTATTAAAAATGGAAAGCCATGACAAGCAATGGTCTATTTAAAATTTAGGAACCAAATTACGCATCAGGGTGAAAAAACCCCAAACAAAACAAAAAGAAACAAAAAAAAAAAACCAAAAAAAAAAAAACAGCTGTAGTGCACGTCTTCTCCTTCACTCTTGGACCCTGATAAAACCTGATGCTTTATGCAGCTTTGACGACGAGGTAATGTCTAAACACTTTACTGTCAGCACAGCCATAAATAAGCCTGCAGACTTTCTATAATGGCTTTAGAGGAATTTTCTGGGTTCTTTCACCAACACCACAGACACCTGCAACCTTTGTATGTCCAATAGTATCACCAACAGCTGAGAAGGGCACACTGGTCTACAACAAACCATTGATTTACCAGCCGAGAGAGGCCAGGGGCTCACCTGAAAAGGCAGGTCAATGTTGCCATTTCCAATCTGATTGACATTGGGCAGTGAGCCTCCATAGTACTGTCCACGATTCTGCCCTAGTTGCAAATACTGGGTCTTCTGTAACTGCAACTGTGCAAAGTAAAATTGCATGAAAGCATGAGTGAATGACTGATCCAATACACAAAAAAGAGATGCTAAAAACAAATGGTGCATGCCAGACCACAGTGTGGGATATGAAAGACTGATGAATTCATTAACTGACAGATGAAACGTGATGAGCCAGGCAGATGTGGCGGTACCACGAATAATCAGGAGGCAGAGAACATATTTTAATAGCAAATAAAAAGAAAAGAAAAATCACATCAGCTGATGTGAATGACACCTGACTGACAGCTGGTGTAATTACAGTCACACTTTCCATGTAACACACCTGGCTACTACATTAACCACACAACAGTAGTCAAAACAAAAGTCATATATGTTATTAAAAAACAAAAACAACACTGTGATGGAAGGCCTCGAATATGAAATGAAATGCGTGAGGATAAATGATCAGAACTGATGCCATGGATGGATGTTTGGATGGCAACACAAAGAAATCAGGCAGAGACCATAAAACTGAGTAGTAAATTCAATTCCCCCCACCCCTCCCCCTTTGCAGTAAATAACAGTACAGCTCAGGTTTACACTGACGCAGCGTGGTAAGTGGGCATCATTTCCAGCAACTAGACCAACAATTAGCCCCAACGTTTCCTGGCAACAATATGGTTTATATGTTTTGAGACGAACAGCCCTGAAACAATTAGTTCATCATCAAAAATTGCGAGAAATCGCCAACAATGATGACAAGTCATTCTGAAAGTTATTTTAAAACTTAAAAAAAAAAAAATCCCATTTCAGCTCCATTTTACTGTTTTTTTTACATGATTATCATCTGCTATATCTAAACCAGAGCTTTTCATCCACAGTTATATTCACTTCTGTAAAATGACAACAACAACAACAAAAAGAGACAGACAGTAAAACGAACATCATCTCTCAGCGTTAGAAACCCCCCCCCACACACACACACACACACACACACATTTTATTCATCACCAGTGGACTTGCAGCTTCAGTTAGAGCCAATTGAATTGACATAATAAACAGCAGCCTAATGAAAACAGCTGCTCCACTTGTAGTGGTTGAGGCAACCAGTGCTTTCATTGTAGTGAGAAAGCTGCCATTCACACTTTGCTAAAGATAGAGCGAGTAAAACGAGACATGTGGATCATTTAGTCAGAGCTGACTTTGCTCTCCTTAAGTGTATGCTATGAAAATAATGTTACGGGTAATGTGGGGGTTACCCTCTTTCCCCTTAATAAATAAGAAACACACACACACAGCTGGTTAACATCTGTTTGGCTAATCTCTCTGTCAACCAACATTGCTTCCCATTCCGTTTCTAAATCGCAGCTAACTTTTCCTAACGTGCTCTAATGCGGTCACTACCATGCCAGACGATTTGTCTATTAGCTAACGAAATGTCAGCAGCCACAGGCAGGGGAGAACAGGTGCACATTATCCACAGCTCCAGCAGGCGAGGCTAAGCTGGTTAGTGCTGCTGGAAGTCAAATAATGCTGGCTTGTTTTAACAGGCGCGGGAGAAACGTCGCTCCGCAGCATTGCACTGATGCAGCAAAGGACGCTAATATGAACTTTAGCTTACATAGCATCCCAACCTTTCCGATACATCTCCGCAGTGTTCGTTAGCTGCCAAACAGCGATGCAACGAGAGGTAAACAGCCCCTCTGTGGGGGTCTTACCCGCGCAGCTCTGGTGATGTTCAGGTCTTTCATCACTTCTTCAAACGCGGCGGTCTCTTCCGCCTGCTTCTGATTATGCAAAGCGATTTTTTCGCTAAATTTGCGAGGATTGTTAGAGGACGCCATCTTTCCCCTCTTCTTCTCAATGGAATGTTACGCTGCGCACCACTCCGGGCTCTCCCGGTCGTCATCACGCACAGTCAACGTGTCTGTTGATGTTTTTCTTTTTTGCTTCAGTTATTGCCAGAGTTTGCGGCAGGGTGAGTTGCAGATAAATTACACACTGCCACAAGGGAAATCGTGTGCCCCAGATGCATGCTATAAATAGTTAAGTAAATAAATAAGTTCACATAAAAGAGAACAGAATTTTCAAACAGAATAAAAACAGCATGGAATGAAGCAGTAATGAATGCAATGGATACAACAGAAAAAAACAGCGCATGAACTATCCAGAATGGAAGGAAAGTCTACATATATCGCATGAAGCTCTAGTTTATGACGAGAAAGTTGGATCATATTAAATTAAACTAGAAGATATGCAATGGAAGTCTGAATATACTGACTAAAACTTGCATATATCCAATGAAAGTCTGAATGTATTGAATTAAACTTCACTATGTGAGATTGTGAGCTGTTGTGTGGTATATTTTAATTGGTTTTTGTAGATTTTCTGGCCATCGTTTTATTGGATCAAGGACAATGGTCTAATTGTTTGAAACTTTTGGTATGACCCTGTCTGGAATGCAACCCTGATACTGGATGTTGGACTAAAAGAGTTGAAGAGGTAATTGCAGGCTAGCCAACGAGCTATTAGGCTAACACTGAAGGGTACCATGGGGCCAAGTGGACTCTGACAGCTGTCGAGGACATTAAAAAGTCTCTTGACTTCCTAATGGAGGAAATGTCTACTATCAGGTTGCAGTAGAACAGCATCCTTAACATTGTGGAGGAGGTAAAGCTCCTCTGCATCTAAAACATAGAGTAAGAGAAAAGGATTGCAGACTTGCAACGGTATTCCAGGATAAATGACCGCTTCATATTAAACCCCGCTCACACGCTCAGGCAGGGACTGTCAATAGCAGTGAGGAACCAGGGGAGGTGGACGTTAGCTCCATGGTACAACAGGTTGCTGCTTTCCTGCAGTCCGAAGGGATTGATCTGGACTGTGACAACATCGACGCATGCCACCCTGTGCCCAGAATAAACACCAGCAACAAACCAGCTATTATCTTAAGTGTAAATCAGAAGCACGAGAATGCACTGCTGGGACAAGGGAGAAAATTAAAAGCATATAAAGTATTTATCAATGAACATCTAACCAAAGAGCCAAGCAAGCATTGTACCTTAAGAAACTGGGAAAAATTCAAAGTACTTGGATGACAAACTGTAAAATCAAACTAAAAGGATCACCGGAGGAAGCTAAACTGCTGGTCATCAGAAATATGGTAGATCTCAAAAAATATACAAAACTAAACAAGGTAACAACTATACACTCACTTATCACACACTGAAGGGAAAGGAAAAGCTATTTTATATTAATATGTGGAATGAAACCTGAATATATGAATCAATGAGTGATCCACCTGCTCCCCATCTTTGTTTGCTGATTAGGTGCTTTACCAGCCCAAGGATCTGCCTGCACAGAATCTTAGCTTGTCCTAGGCCTGTGCCTCTGGACAGACACTGGAGAGGCATATATAATGCATGAGTGAGTGTGTGTGTGTTTTCAGTTTGTACTGCAACAGTAGCTTTTCTGGTAAAATTAGTGTAAAAACAAAAAACATTGCACACCCTTGAATATTTAATTATCCTTTCTGGAAAAATGGATCAAATTATTCAATGGAGAGCCTGGAACATTACTGTAGGCCAGTATGAAGGAAGCTAACAGCTAACCAAATCATTAATTAAAGTCAGAAAACTATTTGCTGTTATGGAACCTTAAATATTAATTTTAAATAATTTAATCAGCCTGGCTGATTATTTGGAAAGCTGCCAATCTTGTTGGCAATAGCACTTCTCAGAAGATCCCTGGGTTTGCAACACCACTAGCATGAGAAATAAAGAAATTGTGGACTAGTTGGGGGGAAAAAAACAAAACAAACAAACTGACTTTTCTTTATGAATTCATTAATACTTTGCACACCCACAACAGAAAAAACTGAATTATATTGGCTGAAACATTAATGTTCCTGTATGTGGGAGTGTACAAAATAATAATAAACAAACAAACAAAAAAAACAACAATAGTTCCTTTTTTAAAGCATGATTCACCTTTAATAAAGAATGCACATAAAGCTACACATGTGTACATTCCCCTTTGACTACAGCAATTTCCTGTATATTGCACTTTAATGATGTAATGTGCTGTTACTGGTACAGGTAAATACAAGACAAAGACACACTAAGGCAGACAGTTGATAGTTTAAAAAAATAATAAAAATTTAAAAAGAAAAGAAAAAAAATGAGGAGGCTTCTCACCATCACACGGCCAGTTCCTGGAAAAAACAAAACAAAACAAAAACAAAAACAGGAAGTTTGTCTCTTTGCACACACACACAAAAAAAACCTGGTATAATCTGAGATTATACACTCACACATTTGCTGAGAAATCTTAGAAAGACTGAGGAATTTACTGAGGCTAAAATTGGATATATACAAGCAGGAAAATCCTCAGGAAAAAGGTGTAAGGAACCACAACACTTCACTTTGCATGGCTTGATGAACCTTGGACCATCTGCCTGCAGCATAAGTCTCAATTAAATAATAACCTTAATACTTGATACATGATTTTAGCCTACAGTGACAATGACATCTAGCCATGGTTATTTAGAAGAACACGTGTGCGAATGAGGTGATAACTGGATCGGGAACAGACTGACAGATGCTCGTTCACCCTGCTACAAATGCAAAGTGAAGTAGTTCCTTGACAAATAAGATTTTTTTAGAGTTGATTCTTGTGCATTTCTGACTTTAACACTAAAAATAATCCTCATTCACCAATTCAACATCCATTTTTTAAACCTACAACAGCCTTCATAATATGCATTTGTAGATATAAAGTGCAAAAATAGTAAGAATAGGACGTGAATAACATGAGCATGTTTTCTGTATAAATTGTACTTTGAGGATTTGTGCAAAAATGTTGCTTGTCACATTTTAACAGACAATTACAGTCAGAAAATTTAAATGTCACTGTTGTTTAAGGACAAACCTTTTATGGTAAGCAAGCTGTAGCGGCTGCTTTACATAAAGAGAGCATCAACAGACACACATGCACACACATTAAGTATTGATGTAGCTGCCATAAGAGGTCCATACTGGTTTGTTATGTTGTCTGAGTCATTAGCAAAAACTGAAACAAATGAGGGCAGTAGTAGTTTGAAAAAGAGGGAAAAAAAAGACTAACGTGGAATAACTAATAAAAATTCACAGTTTAAACACATACAATACTCGTTTGTGTGCCATCATTGATACGAGGTTTGCTGATTAGTAAATAGACTTTAAAACACTAACGGTTTTTAAATAATTACAACATAGCACAAAAAAATAAATTAAATAAAAAAACCAATGTACAATCAAGCTGTCCAACATTATAAAGGTTGAGTTTAAATGTTGTCACTGGATAAATTGTAGCATACTCTAAATGATAATTATGTCTAGAGACATTTGTGCTGTGTGTAACTGAAGCCCTTGATCAATAAAACTTGGGGTAGTTAGTGCTACTATTACCGTTTACGCTTCGTTAAAGTATCTGCTCTTCTATTTTCCAAATGGTACAAATGTTTGAAAAAAAAATCCTTTTCAGTTTATGTATTAAACACATCTCAGACAACTACAAGTGTAATTTATAACTTTAGTTCATAAATTCAGAATAACTCAAAATAAAGACCCTTCATGTGGAATAAATATGAACGAACCCTCTGAAGCTACAGAGTAATACCCAAATAACAGTACTGTGGCTTTTTAGGTCAATTTCTTCATATGAACATATAAACACGCACACAAAACGATCACACCTTGTGTTGACTCAACAGTCGGCAGAAAGAGCACATGGAATAAATCTTCACAGTCGTAGGTCTTCTGCTTAGCGCTGTGTGATGTTTTGTGGAAGTATAATTGGTGTGCAAGCAATCCCAGCAAAGGATTCTGGAAAATGCAAATCCCTCTCCCACTCATCTGTCTCTGTGTTGTACACCTGAACGATACTTGTGACATTGTTCAGGTGCCAGTTGTAACCTCCGACGATGTAAATCTTCCCGTCTAGAAGGCAGCAGCCCGCTTCAGACTGGCCGGCCCTCATAGGACTGGCTGTGGTCCACTGGTCGTTCTCTGGAATGTAATACTCGACCGCTAGCACATCAAAACAACGGTCAACATGGTCCATGCGGCCGCCCAGGGCGTAAACCCGATCCCTGGTGCTGATCATGGTGTGCAGCACTCTGGGTTCATTCATGGGAGCTCTGAAGTCCCATTGGTCTGTCGCCGGATCGTAGCAGTGAAGAGTTTTCTTGTCATCCAATGAGACGCCGTATCCTCCTGAGATATACAGCTTCTCTTGACAGGAAGTCCCCGCATGACCCCAAATCCGGCGTTTTAATGGTTCCACATATGACCACTCATTCTTCTTTGGGCAGTAACACTCTACAGATGACAGGCTGCCAGATCGATTGCGCCCTCCAGTGGCGTACAGCAGTCCATTCAGCACATTTAGCTGAAACTGGATACGAGCCTCCTGCATGAGTGGAATGCGCAGCCATTGGTTCAGATGTGGATCGTAGCGGAAACAGCTGTCCACCGCCCCCTCGCCACTACGATACTGTAAGTGCTGTCCGCCGACGACGTAGACAAAGTTGTCTAGTACGGCAACACAAGCATGGCTGCACCCCGTCTCCATCTCCGTAAGCTCTTTGAACTGACGGGATGCGATATCTGGAAGATAGTACACCTTTGTGGTGACTGTGCGATCGTTGTCGGTGTAGGGCGTCCCACCAAAGGTGATGAGTGACATGACGTCAGAGCGAATGAGTGTCCGTGAGGACTGCATTTCATGCTGTCGGAAGGGAAGGATCTGGTAATTGAAGGCCTCGAGGAGATACTGGCGACACTGAACATCCTCCACCATGATGTCCACTCTCTGAATGCTGTCCACCAACTCTGAAGAGCGCATGAGGGGGAACCGCACGTGGCAGAGGACGCTGCTGGCTTGAGCCCGGCGAGACTCGTCGTACTGGAGCCACCTGATGGCGGCGTGGAAGAGGTCGATCTCACTGCAGTTCTTCA